CTATTCATAAAGAGTTAGGGAGATTTGGAGGAAAAAGCACCGCAAAGCATAGCAAGCAACCGCATCGCACACCATCGCCGAGAGCATAGCTTAGCACACGCGCGGAAGCTCCGGTTATTCCTATTCCGAGCAAGTAGAGCGATCAGCCGAGGAGTCAAGGAGGTAACATCAGTATACCCTTTGTTAAGTCATGTTAGCTCCGATCAGTTTAATCATATTCGTGAATGACTTCAAGTCGTACGACCGTGCGTGTGGCTACAGCGAGCGTGTTCATGTTTGTCGTGTAATCTCTCGAGTAACTGTCATGTTATCAGCTCTTTTATGTTAAATTGTAACACCCCGCTATTTTACTAAAATCAGAGTACGCATTTTTCGCAAATTTTTTGAATAATTTAATAAAATATTTATTTTACGAAAACTGATTCGGGGTGCTACCGTAAAAATCTAACTGAAAAACCGTTTAATTTTAAACTGATAATAAAATTGTTATATAATATTTTGGCCGACTAGTGCCGGACCAAAAACTGGGTTTAAGTACTGAAGGTTTTAGCTGAAATATAGCGTGGTCAAAACATAATTTATACATAACAAAACAAATGTCCTGAACAGCTCGTCAGCTCACTCCTCGTCCCCGACTCTGCGACCTGAAAAACATGAAATACGTGGGGGCGTGAGCTAAAACACTGTGCTCCGCAGGAACTCATACTGAAGTAAACAGTGAAAATATTAACAATATCATGATCCTGGCATATATAACTGAACTGATACTAAATTGAAACTGAAACTGATACCGGTACTAATAATCTTGATCTGATACTGATCTCGTGATAAACATCACCTGACTGATAACTGAACATCTGCCAGCATAAATGCCAGACACCATGTGCACACTCTAGTGGGCAGACTAAGGCCACTAGAACCCAGAATGGACCGACGACCATTCCAAGCGGATACTGATAATACATACCTCAAACATGGTAACGTAATTATAATCAATGTAATACCCAGTCTGAGTCCCCACCTGATCCGTGAAACTGAAGGTAGTGCTGATGCCTGATCAACTGAAATATTATATAAACAATTACTACTGAATATGCTCAGACTGATAAATTAACATGATTAATCAGTTAAGTTATCAGTCTGAGCATAGTCATTAGTAATTGTTTATATTATATTTCAGTTTGATCAGGACACGAGCATCAGCACTACCTTTATTTTCACGGATCAGGTGGGGGCTCAGACTGGGTATTACATTGATTATAATTGCGGTACCATGTTTGAGGTATGTATTTCATGTCATGTATCCGCTCGGAATGGTCGCCGGTCCATTCTGGGTTCTAGTGGCCCTAGTCTGTCCACTAGAATGTGCACATGGTGTCCGGCATTTTATGCTGGCAGATGAGGCAACGGTCATGGTTCACGTTCATGTGATGATTATCAGGTTCATGTTCATGTTTATTACCGGTTTCATGTTCAGGTTATGTATATACCAGGATCATGATATTGTTATTATTTTCACTGTTTACTTTAGTATGAGTTTCTGCGGAGCACAGTGTGTTAGTGCTCACGCCCCCACGTATTTCATGTTTTTCAGGTCACAGAGTCGGGGACGAGGAGTGGGCTGACGAGCTGTTCAGGACATTTGTTTTGTTTTGTTATGGATAAACTATGTTTTGGCCACGCTACTTTTCCGCTACCTTTCAGTACTTAAACTCAGTTTGTGTCCATTATCTAGAATTTTAATATTAAATTCACATATCTTGAAAATGTGATATGTTGATTTTCTAGAATCTTAATATTAAATTCACATATCTTGGAAATGTGATATGTTTATCATCTATAATTTTAGTATTAAATTCACACATATTACTTATAATGTTTTATGTACATCTGTGCATGTGCACAGGATGATAACTAGTGTATGATAATAATTGGTTGGTATGGCGTTAAATACAAAATAAATAATATAATTTAAAGTAGTCTTTCTGCATCTAAAAAGACTTCTAGATATTTTGAATACCACATAGGATTTTTTAAGCTACGTGGAAATGGAAGAAAGCAATCCATGGATCATTGGTAGTCTTTCTGCATCTAAAAAGACTTCTAGATATTTTGAATACCACATAGGATTTTTTAAGCTACGTGGAAATGGAAGAAAGCAATCCATGGATCATTGGAGATGCTCTTATAAGGCACGTTTACTAAATTTATCACGCAACATCCATTGTTTATTTCTTTTGATAATCGGATGGTATTTTCCCACGTGGCAGAGTGTGGCTCACTGAGTAATCTCTTGATGGCTGACATATCAATTCAGACCCAAGCCCCCGAATTTTTTATCCCACGCTGTTACTCCATCAAAATGACCATTGAGTCCCCGACAATGTTAGAAATTTTGTATAAATAAATGAATTAGTATAAACCTTGGCTAAAATTATGGGAGATAGTGTTAGAATATTTTGCGAGTTGTCCCACATTAATTATGCAAGTCAAATGAGCTTAATTTATAAGCTTAGTGGGTTACTTCTCGCATCACCAATTGATTTTGGAATAGAACCTCACTAAGGTGGCACATAAGTTCACCATAGTGCGTTCGATTATCCTGAAAGATTTGATTTATTTTGAATTAAAAGTGAAAACCTTTTTCTTGGTAAGATAGTTCGACAAATATTCTTCGTGACTGAATTTGTACACATATTATTTGAACATCTCACAAGTACATTAATATAAGTATATAACAACACTGCAAATGTTACTATAAATGATCTTTTGATTTAAAACACCACCAACATAATGCACTTAATCAATATTTTATTTAGCAATCCATCCACCCAATACCTGATACGAAATATGCAGTTTCATAAACAGTGAAAGAATGATAAATTAAACAAAATGTACAAAAGAGTATGCCAACCTTCCTCAAAAGAGTAAACATGATCAATCTCTCTTCCATAGCCCCAACTCCAAAAAAAAATAAAATAAAATAAAAAATAAAAAATAAAAAAAATCAGCTGCTAACAAGAATTTGTACACTGAATCATAAATCTTACTTTCTGAGGCACCCACCAACCATCAATCCATCACAGGACTATCGATGAAAGCTCCTCGAAAACCACTCTCATGTCGGGCCTCTCGTCCGCCGGGAGCACACACCTGAGCCCAATACGAAGAAAATCCTCAAGCCCGTCAGGCAAACCCGCGGGCCCTAAAACCCGAGGGTCCAGACACTCGACAGCCCGGTTTTCAGTGGCCATCAAGCTCACCCACTCGGAAAGATCCACCACATCCGGATTCCCTGGGATAATGTCGGCCGAGCTCCTTCCAGTGAGGAGCTCCAAAACAACGACCCCAAAAGCATAGACATCACTCTTGAGAGAAGGGCAGGGTTTGGCCGTGCTCGTGAACTCGGGCGGCAGATAACCAAGGGCACCGGCATTGAGGACCTGCTCGGCCGTGCCAGCTGATGTCAGCAGGCGATGAAGGCTGTAGTCGGTGAGGAGGGCTTTTATGTCCGGGATTTGGATTAGTATGTTGGTGGATTTGAGGTTGCCGTGGGGGATTGAAACGTCGGTGTGTAGGTAGGTGAGGCAGCAAGCTACATCGATAGCGACTTTTAGCCGGTCAGGAAGGGTCAGAGGCGGGATTGTGGCTGTGGGGTCTGGCCCTGTAGCAGATCAAAAGCAAGGCATGCAAATAAAGATACGAGAGTGCGTAAACCCGGTAAGTGCATGAAAAAAAAAAAAAAAAGAACGAGTAAAATTTTCTACCATGAAGATAGAGAGCCAAACACGGTGCATCAACAAATATGGATATGATGAGCTTCTCATGCTCCTTGGGACCCCAATAGAACCCTTGTAGTGTGACCAAGTTCGGGTGCCTGATATTCCCAAGCTTTTTTGCCTCACGAGCAAACTCCTTCCTTCCTTTGGCGATTCCTTCTTTCAGCAGCTTGACCGCCAGCAAACAACCCGACGGGAGAACAGCTTTGTAAAGTGTCCCATGACAGCTCATCCCGACCGCCTCCGCCGGGGCCGAAGAGAGCTCCTCAGAACTGAATCTCAATGAGCTGTCAAACAAATGTAAGTCTCCTGCCAACTTGTCGGGCGAACAAACCCGTAATACACTAGGGTTTTCGGATGTGATTGGTACGGATGGAGCTGCAGCTTCGGCTGTCGATGGTGCCAAGTCCGGTTGGGCAAGGTCTTTGGTGTTTTGAGAAGTTGATGGTTGGTTATCGGCAGAATGACTTGGGCGGGGAGATGAAACTGTAGGAACACGAGCAGTTAAACTGTGTACACTCATGCAGAGGTTAAGGAAAAATATAGTATTAGATTTGAGGAATTAAAGTGAAGCTCGGGTTCACAATGAATGGCTTTAAAGGAAAAACTCGCAAATGCTAAAGAAATGGCTAAAGTACTTGCCCGAATTAATGAAAACAAGTAAAAGAATATATTAGGAGAATCTTCACTCATTAGCCCTGAAAATAACAAATGACCATTCTTTACTTTTTTTGGTTATTGTGAACTTGAGGGGTTTGTGTAAGAATATCGACCTACTCGATCTCGTTCTTGTGCAGCTCAGTTGAAGATTGTTTAAGCTCTATTCGGTTAAAGACTTAAAGTACAACTTCCGAAACTCAGACAAAAAATTTAACAAACATAAACAACACAACATTCGAGTTTCGACTTGGTGAATTCATTTTCACACCCCCAATTTTCAACAGATTCGCAGAAAACCAAGAGTACAATAAAACTTTTTACGACATTTACCTTGCTTTCCACCATTTTTAACCGAGTCCTTCGCCTTCCCTCCATATCCATGTACTCTGCAATAGATCAGCATTGCCAAGATAGCAATCACACACACGCCTCCAACCACACCTGCTATAAGGGCTGCCCTCATTGCGGATTTCATCCTGCCCCCATGTCTTCTCAGTACAAGGTCATCACCGCCCTTTGATGGGGGGCCCTCATTGGGAATGACAAGCAAGTTATTCCCCGGATGGAAAGATGAAGATGGAAACCTCTGCAAGCTTTTGGGGATGACTCCAGAGAGATTATTATAAGATGCATTGAATACTGTCAATGTGTCCGGAAGGCCATCGGGAATAGTACCTTCAAAATTGTTGTCAGAAAGGTCTAGAAGCACAATATTGTGAAAAATGCCAAGTTCGGGAGGCAATTGACCCATAAGTGCATTACGTGACAGGTTGAGAGATGTAAGGCTGTAATTCTGCATGACGGATGAATTAATAAGTATTGTACCGGAAAAATCGTTATGAGAAAGGTTAATATCGGTCAACTTTGTCGAGTTGAAAAGGGCAGGAAGGAGGAGCCCGGTCAGGTTGTTAAGGCTGAGATCGATCGACTTGAGTTCCGGGTATGTGGCTAGTACAGGTGGCAGGGCGCCTTGTAGTGAGTTGTTGGAGATTTTTATTGAGACGAGCCTCAAGAACTGAGAGGTTTGGTTTGGCAAGGTGCCGGTGAGTTGGTTGGAGCTTAAATCGATAATCTCGACGTAATTTCCCCAGCCTTGAATCCGGGAGAGGTTTCCGGTGAACATGTTGTTGCTGAGGTCGACGATTGCGCAGTGGCCGATCCGGACAGGCAAGGGACCGGACAGCCTATTTGATGATAGATTTAGATTCCGTAAGTTAAGGGAAGATATGCTTCCGATAGGCCCTGAAGACAAACAAGTATAAACACTGTAAACAAGGTAAGACAAGTGCTAAATACAAAAACTTGATAATTATATATGCGAGGTCATCTAAAGCTCAAGTTTCATGATGCAAAAATGAAGTATTGTGCTCAGTAGCAAAATCAAGCCAACATGACCGGAATTTAGCAGACATCTAGAATAAGGGTATTTGTCTTCAAAAGATTGAACAGTGGACTTTACAGTACTACTGAATGGTGAAAAATACGGATAGTCTCATTCAGGGAAAAGATAGAGAATTTGTTATAACATTTGTGAATTATTCTTCTAAGCACTTTTGACCAGGTGTCAGAGTTGGGTATAGCTGATAGCAGCAAAACTGAAAAGAATTTGGAACATTGGTCATGCAAGTATTTAGCAACTCTTACTCTTTCGTGAAATTAAATTGTTCAATGTAACATCCAACATTGCAAAGTTTTGTTACCGATAAAAGCTTTAAACCATGTCAAAATTATCAGCACAAGTTTCATCAGGTTGTGATCAAAACTCACGAAAACCGAAAAATACATAAATAAACAAATAGGAAAGGTTAGAGCACCTTCACAGATCTACTTAACATACCTTCAAGTTCATTATGACTCAGATCCAATTCAGACAAGATCATTGAGCTCTCTTGCAAAAGCCCTTCTGGCAAAGATCCTGTTAACTTATTGTTGTGAAGCCTAATCTCTCTTAGGGACACCACAAAACTAAAAGAAGGGACATTTCCGGTAAAATGATTATCACTCGCATCAAAAACCTCTAAACTGTCGAAATACGGAATTCCATCATGCGGAAACAGCTCCCCAGTCAAGCTATTGTAACTAATATTCAAATAATTAACTGAAGAAATAAAATCAGGATCTCCAATTCCCATGTCCAAAGACCCTGAAAATTTATTGCAGCTAAGGTCAACATACTGGACGGCCCCGAGTCGACCCAACAGGTTCATGACATCTCCTACGAAACCATTAGAGTGGAAATCCAAATACTTCAACACCTTCAAACTATTAAAACCAGATGGAATTTCTCCTTCTAAATTGTTCGACGAAAAATTGACGAGCACCAAGTTTTCTAAACTGGTCACTTCGGATGGGATTGACCCAGTGAACAAATTCCGTGAAAGATCCAAATTTTGTAGAGCCGAAATGGAGCCGACGTCTTTTGTGATAATGCCACTCAACTGATTATTGGACACAGATAAGTTCCGAAGCATTTGGAGTCTTGAAATGGCAGGAAAACTCAATTCTCCAACTAGGCCTAAACCGTTCAGTGTGATTGAAGTCACGTGGCCATTACTACAGGCGATACCGTACCAGTCCTTAGGACAACCATCCGATGTTAATGCCTTATAATCCCATGAAACGAGAATTTTCCCCGGATTATCCGTCCGAATTCCCTTTTTGAGCTCGAGAAGAGCATCGATTTCTGTTTCTCCTACTGCCACTGCTAACAGCAACAGTAATACAAAACAGGTAATGGCTTGCATTATTGGGTTTTATCAAGCTTGTGAGTGGGGTGATGAAATGAGGAGGAAACGGCAAAAAAACATTAATTGAGAAAAGAACCAAGTACAGATTTAGAAAAAAATTGAGGCAAGCTGGGCATCAACAAGAACACAATTTAATTACAACCAACAATTCATTTACTTATTTATTGATTTTTTTTTTTTTGGGAAGAGTTGAACTCAGTAACTATAACATTTCCATGCTGAGAAGAAAAAAGAACCATGGGCACTAAATTAATAAGGAGAAAGGTCTCTTTCTCAATCCAGCAGGCAATTAAAGTACTGCAATCATTCCACCAATATTTCAATAAAGAAAATGAAGTAGAAAAAACCAACCCAACTTTTTAGCTAACCCCAAAAGCAAGAAATTGTAACACATACACAAGGGCCTACATCTCAAGCAGTGAAAATGATACTCTAATATTACTATTAAGTACTTCAAAAATCAACCCCCAACAGCATATGACAATACTAAGCCCCAAAAGGATTAATGCGAGTGAAAAAAAAGAGGGATCTTTTTGCTTGCCCACAATTCAAGAAGAGTGCAAGAGAACTTGAAGAGAGAGGAAGGGGAAAGGAGGAGTAATAATAAAGCTTATCCAACCTTTTTTTTTACCAGTAAGCTGACACTACAATATGAGAGGCATTTAATGCGGTGTGGGTAGCATGAAAAAATGAAAGGGACAAGGGCAAAGCAACGGCCAGCATCTCAAGGGAAAGTGGTCACTGGAAGAAGCATAAAAGACCGGTCTTTGATAAGATTACTGCAGATTGGGGCATTTGGGTTAGGTGGGTTTCAGTTATTGACTGTAACTGTGAAGAAACATGGAGAAAAAACGAGGGTTGTGCGAGATGTGTGAGAGTGGGTATTATAGCACTGTAAACTTTCTCTGCTGTTTGTGCTGTGTGTGAAGTGTTCTGTCACACACACGCATACACGCACGCGCACACTCGCAGCCATCTGTGTGTTTGTTTTGGCATAGTTGGTGGTGTTGTGTGCTAACAACAAGAATTGGGCTGGCAATGGGTGGTGGGTCGTATGCATTAAAGGGCTTTTGTCGTAGAGCTTGTTTTAATTATATAGTCAAGGTCAAACCAAGTGAATTATATTTGGAAGAATTTTATGATTACCGTATGATTTTAGATTTATTGCAATCTACCATGGTGGTACATTTTATTGCATCTTTACCAATTAGATTCATTTAATTGTGTATATGCAAAAATATCAGTTACCAAATAAGAAGTGAATTGCTCATATAATTCAGTAACCGAAGGCAAATTACAGAAAAAAACAAAATTTGTCCAACATTCAGCAACCGTATATATTTTGTTTTGTTGTTCTCTTTTTTTTTTTTTTTTTTTTT